GTATACAGTACATGCTAAAAATTCCAGCTCATTCCAGGACTACTCTATTTGGAACTTTGTCCTGCCAGGTGATACAAAAAAATGTGTCAGAGACAACGCATGTGGAATGTGTTCAGCTTCCTCTCCTGCCGTGCACATAGGGTCCAGGACTCACTGCAGTACAGGAGTGTGCTCAGGACACAGGCTCTATAGACCTGGATCTTGGTATATGCCATCAGCTTCTTATTAAGCCATACTCTCTTTGTGAGTCTAGAGAACATGGTAGCTGCTTTGCCAGTGCATTTATCCAGCTCAACATCTAGGGAGAAAGTGTCAGAGATCGTTGAGCCAAGGTACACAAGGTATATTTATAATAGGCATGCACCGTATGAAAAGATCACTTGTCAATGTGCCCTTGCACCCCTCACTAACGACTCAGTCTTAAACCAGTCAATGTGAATATTTTCACTGTAAAATGCAAATAGTCACAATATATATATTTTTCAGGACACAAAATGTCATTAACAGCATTCAACATCTTAAAAACATAATTAAAATTATGTTTTTAAATCTGCAGATAACTGAAGTTTAGCTTCACTTTTTCTCTGCCACTTTTTTGGATTAAAAAAATTTATGGTTTTCAATCTCAGTACCCACTCATTTTTTCATTTCATTTACGTATTTCCAGCTGAAAATTATGTAAATATATTGCATTGCACAAGCAAACATCCCAAAGTATATAAAATCCAACATATCAATATTTATAAACATCAACAGCTCTTTTTAGCCTCTTACCTTTTACTTCTGCGTGCCAACGCTTTGTGTAATCAAGACAAAAAAGGATACAATACAAGGCAAAAATGTCTTCCTTATATGTCAATCCAGGAAAATATAGAGAGGGAGGTAGCTAAACAAGTTTAATGGGGGAGTAAATATCCCTGCAGATACAACTGTACACCAGACTGACAGTATTAATATGGACACGAAAAGAAAACAAATGTTGTTGTTTTTCTATGCTGTCAAATCAAAACCAACTTACAGCAACTCTAAGAAGGCTTTCAAGAGAAATGAAATATTTAAGGAGTGGTTTGACTACTTTTACTCCCCCAATGAGTTTCCATGGCTGAGCAGGGATTCAAACCCTGTACTCCAAGTCCACGGCACCACACTGGGAATCCGCACACACACACACACAAATTAGCGTTGCATTACTCATAACAGTGGGCAAACTTTTTAAAAAAGCCATAGCACACAGGGCCGGACTGGCCATCTGGCAATTTAAAAAGCCATAGCACATACTAAAAAAACAAACTTGAATTCTGCTCATCTAAAAGGGATCTTCTTTACAATACCACAGCCACAAACTGGCATACAGATTTTGCTTAAGGCATGAGAAATTCTAAGTTCATGTATCTAAGAAGCCTTAGTCAAGAAAGACTATAGCAGCTGGTGCTTTTCCTTTCTTCCAGCAGAGAAACAAATTTAAGGCTGACACTCTTCTCACACTGTTTGATGTGGGCACCACCTGTAAACCACAACCCTCATGGAAACTACTATGTTTCCTCAAAAATAAGGGTCTTATATTAATTTTTGCTTCAAAAATGCATTGGGGCTTATTTTCAGGGGATGTTTTATTTTATTTTCATGTACAACAATCTACATGTATTCAAATACACTCACGTCATCTTCTGCTTGCTGCACAAAGGTGGAGGGTGAGGTTTCACTTAACTAGGGCTTATTTTTGCGGTAGGGCTTATATGACAAGCATCCTGAAAAATCCTACTAGGGCTTATTTTCAGGTTAGGTCTTATTTTCAGGGAAACAGGGTAGTCTTATTATTTCAAGCCCTCTCTTCCCCTCCTGCAACAGAAAAAGCATAATGAGAACAATGTTTCTTCCCTAGTGTGCCAATATTTTAACTTCCAGTTCTTCTGATGTGGAGATTGCCATGTTTCAGTGTGCCTCTTATAGCCGAACAGGAACGGTATGCTTCAACACCAAGTAACGGACAATGTACTATGTAATTGGCAGTCTGTCTATAGACATGGGGTGGGCGGGAATCCAGTCTACATTGCCTGACGGAAAAACTAATTCCATAAACTGCTTTTACAAGTTTTCATCCTCTACTCTGGTACATTATTTTAACACTTTAACTCAGATCCTGAAGATGCCACTTTTGAGTCTGGATAATATTTGGATGTATCTGTTCTTCTCCCTGCTCCTGCATGTTCTCCATTGCCCAGCCTGATTTGAAAGCTCAACCGATTTTGTTATTTTAGTGGCCCAATAACAGCATCACATACTCTTGTTTCGAGTGAAGTAGAACACACTCTTCTGCAATACGCTCAAGACATCAGCTGCTTTTCTTAAGTTTTAGAGGATATTTTATTTTGTGTATTATTTTGTTTTCTTACAGACACTTTAAAATCCACATTCTTGTACAGTATGACTAGGATTGTGTCCTGTGACCTTCCACTTCACTTTGCCTATAATGGTACACTTAAGCATAATCACAATTTGATACATGGTTGTCGTTTCTTCAAGAAAGGACGAAGGCACCTTTGACATGGACTAAAATGTTTGAAGACTGGTCGAAATGACTAGGTAGGTGGGGTATAAATAAACAAACAAACAAACAAACAAACAAATAAATAAAATGGGCTAAGAGAGAGAAAAATGATGAAGGGAGAGGAACTCCATCTCACATCTTGCTGTTCACACCACTTCTATTTCGGAGGCTCAACAAATGTAAGGAAATGTCTGGCGGACTGAGAGAAAGGAGCTAAACCTTGAAAACAGCAAATATTTAAAACAAGTATAAACAGTGTTAATATCTTATAGTGTCCTGTTTATTTTTTTAACTGAACAAGTAAAAAAATGATCCTAAACTACAGATTTGCACAGCTTCATTCAACAATCCTGGACAGGAAACTACAGTAATTATAAATTAAACCAACTGTTCTGCTCTGAGTTTCACTCTGGATCCTCAGCACTTGTCAAGCCTTAATCACATCTATATAAAATAAACTGGAGGGGGTGGGCAAAAATGTTGGTTTAAGCAGACAGGGGACGATATTTCTTACCCTTTAAAAGGAAACAGTTTTCCACAGATACACTCAGTGTGTATTATTCTGCAACTGTGGAACTTTGGAAAAAGAAGAAAACATATGTGTTTGGTTCAAGATATCTAACAAAAGTTTTTGAATGAAACTTCAACAAAGATACTCTCATGATCACAATGACATGAGAGATATCCTAGCAAACCTTTGCAAATGGGCATCTTCACAGTAGTCCTTACCCATCATTCTATGCAGATTGCTTGTACACCTGTCACCTGAAAACTAAAATGAATGTCCACTGTGCCTCTGAAGAACAGCACATGGAAGGAAGAGTCGTCCCATGGCAGAATCGAAAATGGACCTGCTCTCAATCACAATGTGATCATGTGACTGGAAGACATAACTTCTGTGCACTGACAACGTCGCTCAGTTTCCCTTTGATTTTCAGGAACTGTGTCTTGAACTCAAGACCGCCACCCTGCATAAAAAAAGAAATAAAAATAAAATAAAATACCAAAATAAATGTGCAGGTGGATGGTAGGCTACGTATTAACTGTGGCATCTACAGTTCAGAAAGGGAGCAATGTTACAAGATGAATATTTGGCAAGGCAGAAATGTTACATATTGTTGATCTACACAGACCATATAACAGTTTCCATAGCATAGTCATACATAAAGAGGAGGGATGGATGGTTTCAAATGAAAACTAAACAAGTTTGCATTAAAAATTAAACAGTGTTATTTTTAAAACAGATAAATCAATGGTAGTGCTTTTGTAAGAGTCTGGCTGAATAGCTCCCCCCGCTCCGCGCCCCCCCCCGGTTCTCCTTTACTGTCCTAGATGTGGATAAAGTGCTGAGCTGGGGGGGGGCAGACAAATAGTTTTAGTTTCCATCTGATCTTCTTAGTTAAAAAAGATATTTCATACAGGCTTTTCCACAGTCTTCCCCCTAACTGTACTCCCAACACCTACATGCTTTGTCTTGGAATTCCTTCCACGGCCACCATCTTGAGAAGCCTCAAGCTTAGCATCAGGGCAAGGAGCTCCAACCGCTGCCTCTCAAGATGGTGGTGGAGATGGCAGTTTCAAGACAAGATAAGAAGATGATGGGGCAGTGAGAGGAAACAACAAGCCCTCATGTAGCAAAACCTAAAAAACAAACAGCAATCCAGTTTGGGGTTTTTTTTGGGGGGGGTGATAGTCTGTGGTTCATGGCTACCCACATACCATGAACTAGCACTAACCACGGGTTTTCCACTTGATGTACAGGAAACCTGGAAAAGGTCAAAGCTTTGCAGACTTTGGTAAATACTGTATTGCACTTCTGTGCAAAGAAAATTTTGAACCATTGTGGTTCCTGAGTCCTGTATGAGTTGGAGCTGCAGGACTGAGGCTTTTCACAAGAAAACGCCAGCAGATGTGCCTGGTCTATGAACTAAAGCAGTTGAACATTTTTCAACAAGCAACCCCCCCCCTTTTATAACCAGTCAAGAGACCTGTGACCCCCACCCCCACATGTGTGTAAAAAGGCATTTTTAATGGGGAAAGGAAAACACATTAAAATAGATTTTTCAGAATAGAAATTCTAGCTTAATATATTAATACTAATGTACTGGTGCAGTACGTAATTATGGGAGCAGGCTATAAATCTGCCTCTGAATAAATTTCTCTCCTAAAATATTAATATTTAATATAAGAATAAATAATTGTGGGGGGCTGTAAATCTGCCTCTACCAGATAAAATATGAGAAGAAAAGGTCAGTACACTTTGAGATTAATGTACAGTACTTTTTTGGGTGAGGAAACGACCCTTCATTTTCTCCTCCCCCCCAAAAAAACCCCCTCAGTGAAGAGCCCCTCCCCCTCAAGCCTAAATCAACTGCCACCCTCACAAGTCCCCCCCAGTCCACCTGTTTCTCCTCCCTCCCCTTCTGGCCCCTCCTGCCTTCCCGCCTGAGCCATCTCCCTGTCCAGGTCCCCCCTCTCTTCCTGGCACCTCCATCACCTCACCCAGAAGAGCCAGAGATTCAGGTAGAGAGAAAGGGTCCACGGCTGTGGCAGCAACAACAGCCGCCATTTTGGGGGGGATCTGCCTTCCGGGCAGGCATCCTGCGCTCGCCTCATCTAGGCCTCTTTGAGGCATCTCAACCCTGTCCGTCCAAAAAGCCGACCTCAGTTCCCCCAAAGGTGGACATGGAGGAGCAAAAAGAAATGAGCCAGAGCGCAAAGGGGTTGGAAACCATACGCAGGCATGAAGGGAAAAATCCACCCCTGAAAGGACTCCAGATGGCCTGTGAACCCAGTTTGGATGAAAACGGGCCGCGGGCCAAGAGGACTAAAAGAAACCACATCTGGTTATGCCATATTCAACATAACAAAACTAAAAATAATTGTAACTAAAAAGAACCACGTCCCCCAGAAAACAAGTTGTGACCCCCCCTTGGGGGTCCAAACCTCTAGGTTGGGAACCCATGAATTAAATACATGTTTGACTAATGTAATGACAAATCACTTTAAATATATATAAACGAAGGATTGAGCAGAATTTAATGTACATTATATAGAATACTTTGATATTTTATATAGAGTAAAACAGAATTTATAAATACAAAATATGATACTAATAATTTGTAAAATAAAGGAATAGTAAATAAAACATAAGATATTTTGAACTAAAAAAAAGGAATCTAGATCTATTTGGAGGGTGGTTGATTATACTATAGAGGTATTTCCTACATTTTATATTTATATTTGTATTTCACAGGCATGAAGGGAAAAATCCCCCCCCATGGGATACAGAAAGAGCAAAGGACTCCAGATGGCCTGCAAATCCAGTTCAGATGAAAAGGGCCATTCAGCGAGCCAAGAGGACTAAAATAAACCAGCTCTGGGTATGCCATAGTTAATACAATAAACGTAAAAATAATTGCTATTAAAAAGAACCATGGTGACCCTTCAGAAGACACTTCACGGCCCCTCTGGAGGCCCCAGATTGGGAACCTATGAATTACAGAAAACCTTGACTAATTTAATCATAGCTGGAATGACAGACCACTTTAAATATACTTATATGAAGAAAGAACTGAATAGACTTTAATGCACATTACATAGGAGATTTTAATATTTTAAATATAATAAAACAATAGAATTTATAAATACAAAATACAGTATCAATAGTTTGTTTAATAATGGAGTAGTAAATAATATTTAACATACATTAAATGGAATTAAATGAATCTATATCTATTGAGGGGAGTTGATTATATTCTATATCCTATAACAAGAATAATCTTCCGGGGCAAGACATATTTCCAAAAGGTGATGGGAGGTGGAGACAGAAGGGAAGGGAAGGGAAGGAAGAACCAAGAAACAAAAGCACTTCCTAATTTTTCATGGTTGTTTCAACATAGGAGGGAGAGGCTGGAGGGCAATGATCTTGGGTTGAAGATAATGTGATGGAATTTGGTTGAGGGGAAATCTTCTGGTCAGGGTGCCTGTAGGGAAAAGAGAAAAGAGAAAGCTTCATCAAAATAAGAATAAACTCCCCTTTCTTTTGTTACAGAATATTCAAGTTCAAGAATCTTTTTGGGATAAGCCCAGCAGAGGAAGTCATCTTACTTCTAGTCAACTTACATTTCCCAATGATCGTCTCATCATATCCACAAACGTTCTTTATGTTAAAGCAAGAGGTCAACATTATGTTTATTGGACTATTTTGTAAACTGGGCCAGACCTTTACAACTACCTTTTGATCATTTTAAGTTCAAGGACTTTCCCCACTATCCCATCAAATGAGTGACTGGTGAATACCCTCATGCTTCTGCTGAAGAACGTGGGTCTCATTTCGGTTCATCAGAGGTCTATTTATTCTGTTAGATTTATGGGGATGAGTAAAATTGTTCTTGCGAATGGGAGCAACAGAGACATACACACATTACTATAGCAAAATATGACATCAGATTAAAATTTGAATTCCTCTTTCACACAGGCACTTTAAAAAGGAATATAAGCATAATCTCAGAAACCCAGCCTGGTTTCACCATGAACATCAAGGTCTTAATTTATGTTAGGGTTCTTTAGGAAATATCACAGTACACTTCCTCACAGGTATTCTCTGTCTTCATTGGCTGAATCAAGAGCCAATGAATATGTGCTTTAATCTGTATTAAATATGTTTTCCCAGTTAACTTTTGGTCTGGAACTGTGCAATCACAAGAAGAGAAACAAGACTTTTCAATGGGTATGCCGACAAGTCCTGTTTAGATTCTGTACAGTTGAACCCACAATTCCAGTCTTATGAGGATGGGAATTCTATGTCAACTGCAACTCCATCCTTTCCTTAGAAATATTCAACTGGGAGATGTGGGAAATGGTGGTCCTCTTGAAATAGGGGGAGAAGCTGGAAGAAGGGGAGGGGCAGAAGGGAAAGAGGAGGGGGAGGGTTGGACAAAGGGACAAGAGAGGTTTGTGGGTTGGATAGAAGGGGAAGAACGGGGGAAGAGCAGGATTTGGGTTGGGGAGAGGAAGAACATGGGGTTTACAGGTGAGAGGGGAGAGAGGGCATTTTCCTTCATCCTTCAAGTCCTGCAATCACAAGAAGAGAAACAAGACTTTTCAATGGGTATGTCGACAAGTCCTGTTCAGATTCTGTACAGTTGAACCCGCAATTCCAGTCTTATGAGGATGGGAATTCTATGTCAACTGCAACTCCATCTTTTCCTTAGAAATACTCAACTGGGAGATGTGGGAGATGGTGGTCCTCCTGAAATAGGGGGAGAAGCTGGAACAAGGGGAAGGGCAGAAGGGAAAGAGGAGGGGGTGGGTTGGACGAATGTGCGAGAGAGGTTTGTGGGTGGGATACAGGGGGAAGAGCAGGATTTGAGTTGGTGAGAGGACGAACATGGGGTTTACAGGGTTTATGGGTGAGAGTGCAAAGGGGGCAGGTTCTTTCAACGTTGAAGTCCTGCAATCACAAGAAGAGAAACAAGGCTTTTCAATGGGTATGTAGACGAGTCCTGTTCAGATCCTGTACAGTTGAACCCGTAAACTCAGTTGAACCCAGTCTTTTGGGGATGAGAATTCTGTATACAGTTGAACCCGTAAACTCAGTTGAATCCAGTCTTTTGGGGATGAGAATTCTGTCAACTGCAACTCCATCCTTTCCTTAGCAATACTCTAAGGGGAGGGGGGGAAATTACCCGTATCTATGAGTTGCAGAGGACAATTCTCCTTGGGCACACAAACACACACAAAAACAGAGACTCTGAACCCAGGGTAGAAGTGATGGAGAGGCCAAACTGCTCATGGACATGCAGTCCATGTTCAGAGTTGTCCTCTTGTCAAAGTGGAAGCATCCACCCCATCTCACCTTCCTCCTTGGGCACAGCAGTTTGTCTCTTGCTGTCTCCCTACGTTGTTTCTTTAGATTGTTTTCCTTCCTGCTGGCCCATCTTAGACTCCAGTGGTCAAAGCGTGGCCTCTTAACACCTCTATCCATTCTGTTAGTCGTCCCCTCTGTTGAGCAAGACAAAGTAAGAGATCCATTGCATTACTTTGCAGGCCATTGAGAAAAGTGAGTCATAGAACCAGAAAAAATATCCACCATGACCTTTCTAATAATAGTTTGAAATGTTCCTACAAATTAACTTTGGCAACTCAAAAATGTGATGCATTGTGCTAAAAAAAATAAATACATGATTGCATGCTGCATCTAACCCAAAATGTAATCTGTGAGATGTGATTTTTTGTAGCTAGTTCCTGGCAAACCTGGTATGAGATCCCATGTGTGCAGCATGTACAAAAGAAAGAGAGATTCCAAACCAGGTGCTTTCTGTAATATTGTGCTTTTTTTTCCCTTCGAGAAGGACACATCCAGGAAAGATGAATGGGCAGGCTTTGTGTTCAAAAAGGTACAAGTAGGATAAAAGCAATTTTTAAAGAAAGCAGAAGTCATCCTACATTTGGGAAATGTGGGCAATTGTGCTAACAACAGCATTTCATGTAAAACATTTCATTGTTTTCAGCTACACTGATTGGCTGAATTCATCATTGTGCCCCACTCAGCTATCTCCCTGATTCTTCCACTCACGCCCGGGATCATACTCCTCTTCTATGTTCAACTATCCAATCTTCATAACCCACTCATTCTTGGCTTGCTCTGGAGATCCTCCTACCATTATTACTACAAGAACTCCTAGGTTTACCTAATGGCAAAGTATTTCATATTTCTTTGTATTTCTAAGTCTCTTCTCTCTTCACCATTTTTATCTCCCCAGAATACATCTAGATCTATGGTGTAGCAGATAATGGTGTCAGATAAAAACTTGGGAAATGAAGGATCAAATTGATGCTTGACTATGACAGCTCAGGAGGTGGTGATGGTAGTGGCACTAATAAAAATACTCCTTGAACATTTTATTTATATACCTTGAAGGTCCTATGTGGGTCTCCAGAGGTTGAGAGTGACTTGAAGTTACAGATAATATTCCTTGGTCCACATGGACTGAGAGACAATCTGTAGATCTTTTGATGTGTTGTCTGCCTGAAACCCCAACCACTGTTTCCATTTGCAGCAGAACCTGGTGAAAATGATGGTGGGAAGAATCCTTAACATAATGCACTAAGTGCCCATGGAGATAGCAGTCTTGCTGCTTAAAACATTGTAAATGTGGGCTATCTTTCGGAAATCTAAGATGAAGTTCAAAGATGATTTCATGTGAAAATTCTGACAGATTTTTATCTCACCATGATTGTGTAGGATCTCGGCTGCTCCCTAATGTTTCTGCTTTGCAGATGTTCCTCTGTCGAAAATGGAGAAGGGCATCTTGTCAGAGCCAAGTTCTTTTCAATACAGGAGCTGTAGTGGGCTTTTTCAGTGGGATGAAATGGAACTTCCCAGGGCCATCACTGGGACAAGGCAGCCAAGACTTTTCCTGTCAAAATTTAGAAGGCCCTGAAAGCTACACCTAAATCTGCTGCTGAGTTGGAGGAAAAGAAAACAGCAACATCTTTTAACCCCCTTTGCTTTTTATTTTTGAAAGCATGAATGCCCTGTCTTTTTGCTGGGAAGGGAACCAGATTCTCCTCCTCCTTTATCTTAAGGGTGTTTGTACCTGTGCCTCCCTGGGGATGGTGCCACTTTTCCTAGGGTGCAAACATTTCTATTTCCAGTTCTGCAACCTCAGAATTCTAACCTGCCTCTGTCTCAAAGGAGTTCCCTTCAGTGTTGCAGGTGTCCACCTCAGATTAGATAAGGACTAGAGCAATGTCTTTCTTAATAAGGACTTCTGGAATAGGAACAACCTGTCCATCAAGTAGAAAAGACTCTCGGAGATCAGAGAGGAAAAGGTAGGAAATGGTCAGCATATAATTCTTTCTCAATATTCCTAGCCTAGAGTGCAAGTGTGCAGCAGAATTAGTGGGAGGTATTTGATTGAAATCAGAGCCGTTGGCCTGGCCTTGCCTCTTAGAATTCAAGGCTACTTACCAGAAGATTCAATGGAAATAAGTGGGCACGAGCTGTGTAAGGGTTCCATCTGGATGTACCTCAGGAAATTCAACCTGAAAGTTAAAGAAGAGAAGTTGGCATGAGGAATTCATGACATACAGGTCCTAGGTGATCTTGTGAACAACTCTTAGTGCTGAGTAGAACATTTATTTTGCACTTTTTTCTACTACAGTCATTCAATTTTTTAAAATATACGTCGGTATGTATTATTTTATATGTCTGATGTGCTGAAAGAAAATCTGATGTAAGTTAAAAGGAAAACCTATTGTCTACAATTGAATAAACTCTGGGATTTTCTGATTCCTAATGGTCATTTAGTTGTTATTTTGCGCAGTCAAATAGCTTCTGACATATGGTGATCCTATGAGTTTTGGACCCCCAAAACATCCTACAATTAAAGGTCTTTAGTTGACACTGTATTTTGTAGTAATATTTTTTGAAGAAGAGGTCCTAAGACTTTAGCAATGATGTTTTAACTCTCCCTCGAGAGCCAGAAGCAGTACACAGAGATCCACATCAGAGGACAACCTGGGCAAAGTAATTCATGTCCCTTTCCTTTTCCTACAAATGTTGGTTGTAATGGGCTTATCACCTACTGCTGGTGAAACGCATTGACGATATTCCACGATGCCACCTGGCGTTGGAGGATTTTCTGGGGAGACAGGGATGACTCCAAGCGGCTCGGAAGAACAGATCTGAGACACTACTGCTTGGAGGGAAAATCTCTGTGCAATTTTAGATTATGCTGGAGTGGGTATGTTCGGTCCAGGGGGCTCCCAAAGGATGATCAATGCTGACACTGGATCTGCATAATGAAACATTTTTTAGCTTTTTAGTTCAGGAACGTGTGTTCTTCTTTGAACCATAGCAGCCTAAAACCTGTAGAGACAAAGGAAGAGAAAACATCCAAGACTTGAAATGAGCCCATCAAGAAATGAAGAATAATTCTTCGGGCTTCACACAGTTCAGTGGGTTGCAGAGTTGGGGGCTGGTATTTTAATTCCCCACTGTGAGTCTTGGGATTTAATTTCAGTTGCACTCCATGTAACGTGGTGGCGCTGTGGGCTAAACCGCAGAAGCCTGTGCTGCAGGGTCAGAAGACCAAGCAGTCGTAAGATCGAATCCACGCGACGGAGTGAGTGCCCGTTGCTTGTCCCAGCTCCCGCCAACCTAGCGGTTCGAAAGCATGCAAATGCGAGTAGATAAATAGGTACCATCTCGGTGGGAAGGTAAACAGCGTTCCGTGGCTAAATCACACTGGCCATGTGACCACGGAAAGATTGTCTTCGGACAAACGCT